TATTAAGTAAATGACTTAGGACTCTTAGGAGTTATGACTATTATTATTCATGACTTCATGAGTAAACAAATTAATTTCAAATGTAAGATCAAATAATATAATAAACCTAATCTAAAAATAACAAACTACAACTTAAACAGCAAATACCAAAATAATGCAAGTGTGTACCTGACTAATAAATTATAATTATAACGATAACAAGATAAATATTACATATAAATGTATAATGTATCTGTAATTAATGAAGTGTGTTAAAAGATAAAATTAGAAAGGTAATGAGCCGTGTTAATGATGCAACAAAAATACATCTTGTTAAATGAATCCTTAAATAACAGATGAGTGATTTTTAAAATGTAAATAATGTTTTGATATTAAAAGAGAAATCCAGAAGACAATTTTAAAGTTAATGAACATTTAACATTCATTTCAGGAGACAGATATCTACAATAATTACAAGTTTTATTTCTATGCAAACTGCAAAAGATGGATTAGAATAATAATTTGTACTTTGTTATATTCCGGCAAATCTGAGATTGTGTTTTTGTTAAAATTGAACGAGTTGAAAGGTTCTATTTTGGTAATGTTAATGATATTAATATAAAAAAACATTTTAATGTTATGCTTTAATTCAAAATGTTTAGAATATAAAAACATTGAATGTTAGCGCACTACTTTTTTTCTCACGATAACCTACAGGCCACTTATCATAATAACTCCATTCTGCAGAAACAATTTTGTATTATTAGAATTAATATCAAAGTGTTTACTATCAATCGTGTATACTAATTGTGACTAATGGCCTTTGCTGCTGATGTCAAATATTATCAGAAAAAAAAATTTTAATATTTAAAATTGCCCATGTATCGATGTATCATAGAAAATAGAAATATAATAAATTCAATGAAATTTAATGTAGGTAAAACATAGAAAATGTTCTTTAGTTTGTAACTTAAAAGTTTGATAGTAAGTCAATTCACTATAATAATATTAAAGCAGAAAGCTTACAAGATATAACACAAGATTATTTCTACTAAAAATCTGGAAACAAAGTAAATTGCTATGTGCCATGTTGAGCGTGGGTCAGACTTAGATCGAGGCAAAACAAATACCTAATGCATTGACATCCTTAACATTTTAAGTTAATTTTTCATATTTTGTTTTAAATCATGATTGGTAAATGGCTATACATAAAATCGAGCCATCGAGATGTATATACATCTCGATGCCCCTCACATAAAATTCTATGTCCAACGTACCGATTGATATAATGAAACGATAAGAATTCTAAAAACAGATTTGAATTTGCCGTCAAATCTTCTTGAGATTGACCATCTCACATTTTTTATTTTTATATTACTCTGTTTTAATGTATCGATTTTAGGACTTTAAGGGATAATATAAAAAATATGGGAAGATCAATCTCAAGAAGACTTCACGAAAAATTTAAATCTGTTTTCAGAATTCTTATCACTTCATTATTTCAATCGGTACATTGGACATATAACACATCTATAATCCTATGTTGTACGTGTATTAAACAAAAACAGAAAACCGCCACTTCCAATCACTTTAATTGAAATGTGTGAGGTTATTTTTATTGTTCTGATTGAATAGTGTACTAAACTTGCTCCATATTCATTATTCATTCGTTACGATTGCCATTTGAAAAATATTTAGTTTCTTCAATTACTTTAATTTCAACTTGTTAATCCAAAAAAAGTTTAGGCACAACAAATAGTAACAACGTTAAGTAATAATTTACATATTAATACCTATATTAAATATTATTGAATCAAAATTGAATACGACATACCTAATGTTAATAAATTATTATTTATTCATTTATTTAGGCTTGCTTTAAGTTTTAACTTTTAACTTAATAATATTTGAAATTCAGTTAGTAAATAGTTTCTTCCAGAAATTCCTGTGAAACTTTTATTATTTGTCATGTATCAAATTTTCCTATTGTATTAGATAACAGATTGGTAAATATCATTATAAAGAAAATAAACTTAATTTATTTTACTAGTTTACTAAATAATAAATATATTGCATATACACGATATTGACGATTACATTTATTTATACTCATAATTTTTGTATGTTTTTTGTATAAATCCAGTACCTACAAATAAGAAAAATACATATTTACAAAATACAAACAAATAACTAAAATTAGGTATTGAATACTTGAATTAAAACAAAAAAGTTGAGTATTACTATATCCAAATAACTAACCTAACAATTTAATATATACTAAATATAATGGGTGGACATTACATTATTATTTATTACATTGCAGTGCTGCAAATTGCAAATATCTTTACATGACCTTGTACTTGATGTTTTATAAACATAATAATATGTATATAATAATATGTACATAATATATATATATATTATATATACATATATATTATAATACAATATGTACATTACCAGCGTACAATATGTTGGTCGTTACTCATTAGTATTATGCGTCTATGCTTTTACATTTACTTAGAATGATGTGTATTATTGTTAAACAACACGGATGTTTATTATTTGAATAAGGATTAGTGTCCATCCTAAATGACAAATTTTCAATTCCTGAAATACGAAAGTTCTATACGACACGACATAAATATTATCCAAGATAAAAAAGTGTAAAAAAAAAAGTGCAAATAATAAATATAGTACCTATATTAAAATATATCGGTGATATCTCGGATAATACAATATAAGACGCATTCGAGGGCGCATGCATTGTCTCCGTCTTACAAACGTATTACATAGAAAATCGTTGAGTTCTGAATAATTAATTTAACTTTGTTCTATTTAATTTTTGAGAGAGTCGACAAATTACCAAATGTAAAAGTGAGTAATAAGTATCATTGAAAGGTTTTTTGATATTTTTATTTTAAAGCAAGTTACGAGCATTTTAAATTGGTAAATTTTTAGCACATTTTGAAATGATCAAATTCGCCCTAAAATTGAAATATAAAATGGCTCTAAATAAATATGATAGATAAATTCACTGTAAATATAAAATGTCTTATAATAACGATACAAGTATTCTACAGACATAAATACCAAAAGTGATTTAACTTTCCTTGTACCATTTTTCGAACATAAATAAAAATGTTCAAACCAATTATCAGATTACTGATTATTACTAAATCTGGATTATAAATTCACGTAAATTAATTACTTATTATAAGTCAATGCACATAATGATTTTTAGTAATTCTATAAAATGTTCCAAACCACGCTGGGCTGGGCAAAAAATTAGCTTTTAAACCACAACATAATTATACTATTGCCTTATTGGAGTCACTTAATTATTAGGTAGATAACATTATAAGTTGATTAAATATTTATTTATTTTAATTTATTGCGGACATTAAATATCCATATGAATTATCCAATCTATAAATAATATAATCGCCGTAACAGAATGTGAAAAATAAGTAGGTACCTACTACCTACCGAATTTACTAGGCTAAATGTTTTTATTTTATAATTTTATTGTGATTTCACAATACGGAAATATTTATTACAAGTATCTATAACTGTCAAGTTCTGTAAACTACATTGATTGCATGTTATAAAAGTATAAATTATTAGGTACAATATGTTTTAATGTTGTATTATTTTATTCCAATGTTTTTTATTTATTTTACGAATTTATAATAATTTTTGTTTATCCATTTATTGTTCTTTCAAAAAAATTTGTACCACACTCTAATATTCGCTTATAAATTATATATAATATATTTTTTTTATATAAAGTTATGTTATGTTAAAAATTATAGATGAAAGATACCGTCAAGTATCTATCATATAAAAATTAATATTCAACCAAAGAATTTGTTTAATCATCATAATCATTTTTAAGAATTGAAATATCTTATCCCTCTCTTAGTCTTTATCCATACATCATGACAGCCTGCAGGAATGCGACATCTCCGAGAGTCAATTCCTTTCAAAAAAACACGTACTGCATAAAACTGAGAATTGAAGGTTCGAAATATTAGGCTGAGGCAGGTAAAAAAATACCAATGTATACCAATTTCAGTCTTCAAACCACCTTATGTAGAACACTGACTGCAGACTACAACGAATGAGCAATATTAAAAGTAAATTTTACTAATTTTAAACGTTGTATTCAAATAGATAGCTAGTTCAGTAGTTCTCAAAACTTAAAAATTGTATTATATTTTAGAATATATAGTTAATAAATTATAGTTCAATATTCCATAATACAATTACAGAAATTACAAAAAATTTCAGCTGCAACATTTTAGCAAACCTCCGAGAAGAACACACTGCAGTTACCGCAGATTAACATAATATTATTCTATGATTACGACTAATACTCTACAGCCTCGGGGCATTAAAGTCTAGCTATACTCCGTGCGCACACACACCCAGAGTCATCAACCTTGTCACAGGGAATGCAATTACCAGTGTTTGGAATTCAGTATTCACTAGGAAATTCTGGATAGCCGGTTGGTGGACGGCTATGATTTCTAGGGGGCAAACTGTTCGCATTCCAACACACGCTCGCGAGCACGCAGACATGTACACACACACACACACACACACACACACACACACACACTTGCACATGCACAAGCGCGTATACGCAGACGCACACCCATAATATATATTATAAAACTTGTATAATGTATACATATCATATATACCAATTTCGCATTCGACGCGTTTCTGACCCTCACCACTACGCTGAAAATATCTTAATTTTCGTGTGACGTGCAAAAATCNCATATTACTACTACCTAGTACCTACTGTAATACTATACCCGTGTCAGAAACTAAATGCAAGTTTTTAGGAAAAATATTTTTTAAGCATTTTCAGTCTAATCAACACGGGGTGGTAAACATCCAGGTTGTAGAACGATTTATCATTTACCTATATATTATTATTATTACTATGTAATAGGCATATGACATCATAACTAGGTAAAAGGGGAGGTGTTTAACAAAGGTACGCTTACCGTTCCAAACGTTCACCGGCATAACAACGAACGATAATCCTACACGTTAATCCTGTGATCTGGCACTGTACTGAACACGAAACAAATATCACGAACACATTACACGCACATCCGTTGCACTGAAATCGGACGGAAAACGAAATTCGACGTACGTGTATAACAATATTACAAATATAATATAATAACGGACGTATAAAAAAAAACCGACATCGTACGAATTTCTGATAGGTACGACGATGATAATGAAATATATTATATTAATATTTATGTACACACGCGGCGCGCGCACACCACTAAGCGGACGTACGAAGGAATTTCTAGTTTCGACGGAGTGCCGAGTGGGGTTTGGGGTAAAAGGAAGAAGAAGGAAATAATAATAATAATAATAATAATAACGAAAAAAATAATATTCGTAGCCGGAGAACGCAACGAAGAACTAACAGTGCAACAACACACGGCACTATGTACGGTGCCTTGTCAGCAGTGGCGGCAACGGTCGTCGTGCGGCAGTGGCGGTGGTGGGAGTGCACGGCGGCCGTGATACGCGTTGCGCGCGCTCGTCGGTCGTTCGACAAACTTGTTGAACCCAAAAAACTGGTTGTCGGCGGCGAGAAGGCACGCCACGGAGTAACGCCGGGGTCGCCTTATTATTATTATTATTATTATTATTATAAGACTCTTTGCACGCGGGCCACAAAGAAACACGCCGGCAATAAAATATTATTACTGGCTTTCCCCCCCACACCCCCTCCACTGCAGACTTTGACTCTCTGGATTTCCGCTCCAGGACGGCAGTCACGTTCCGGGCGGCGGCGGCGGTGGCCCAACGGTTTTTTTTATTTCTCTTTCTTTTCCCGCCGACGCCGCATCCTGGGAACCAATGGGTCCGACGCCGCCGACGACCGGCAGGTGTGGAACACACATTACATTAACGCCACTCTAAGATCCATGGCCATGGTGGGGGGGGGGCTGCACGACCACCCGACGTGCCTTGTCCGTAATAATAATAATACGTACGAGTACGACTACAGGTTACTCAGAATATTAAGTATATATAGGTACCCCTTCCCACCTCTACCACTACAACCTTTACGATAATGATTATTATTAATACCACGTCCAACTCCAATTCGTCACGACCATCATTGAAAATTCGATCCCTGCGTTGAATTTCTTCAACTACCATAATAATTGTAGACTTTTTTTTGTAATATGTTGATGCCGATGGGATATTCTTCACGAGAGTTTCCACTTTACTCTACCGCCCTTGTCTAAATTGGATACGCACGACAATTCGTTTGTGTTTGTAAAAATGCCCAATTTTTATGTCTGGTGTCATACTGTCTGCAATCAAAAACTCCCTCTTCCCGTTTTAAAAATCTTTTGGAAACTATAATTAATATAGCATTATAATAGTGTGTCTGTGCTCGTGCTTTTTAAATATATTTCCTTTATTCAATTTTAAGTATTTAAAAACAACATGATTCTTAAAATAAAATATTTTTACTATTTTTTGTTATAATCATTTAAAGATAACATACATTTTTAATTCCTTATTCCGAGTAGCATATAATTTGTAGAATTTTGGAGGATATCTTTAGACTTTAGTTCTATAACTATGATGAGTAAACTGTATATACAAATTAATATTGCTTAAAATTAAAAATTTAAAAGCAGTTATAATTTAAAAAATATTTTTTTCTTATTCAATAATGTGACGATGATAAAACGCTCCAATGTCTTTTCTCTGTGAATTATTCAATTTCATCAATTTCCAATTACAAACTTATCAAACCATTCTATAACCTGCAATAATAATCCACAAGGGTAAATAAATTTATAGGGGGTATGCGCATTTTACAAATATTTTATTTGAAAAATGTTCTTTCTACGCGTAATGAATTGGTTATCTAATGTTGAATTTAAATTATATGTTTGTATAGTATATACAAGTATATACATACTTATTAGTTATTATATCAAATGGGTATGTATAAACTTTTTAAATTGTTTTAATTTTAACTTGATAGTAGAAATATTCAATATTATCAACTTATGTTTAGGATTATCCGATTATAGTTACATTGGATATTGTCTTATTGACAGATAACAGTTATTAGTGTTATTACTTACTGTATTTATAATAATAATATAGTCCATCGTGTTTACTGGGTTTTTGTAAACACTAAACATTCAAGCCAAAACAGTTATCAATTATTTTTAATCATTTATTAATTATCTACTTGTACTTATTACCATGATTTTAAGATAAAAGTATAAATATTATATTTTTAAGTATATCTTAAATAATGCTTATTATACCCGTATCTTAGTTCATCATCAAAAATCAAAATCAACGGGGTACTGGGAGACTACGATGACTGTTATTTAATTGATATTTAATTACAATATAAACATAAATAGGTAACTGCAATTATTAATTAATGTATAATCATAACGATAAATGCTACGATATCAGATTATGTCATAGACTTGGTATATTGACATATTGTATTTAATCTTTTCTGTAATTGTATCCTTCGAAAAACAATTTTAAAAGTAATTTTAGATAATATTAACTATTGACCAATCGTTAGATATTGCAATTTGTATGACGACCGCGAATCTTTGAATGACATATTTGTAATAATTATATAATAATTAACGAATACAACTAAGATATACCTAAAATGTATACACTTTGCTACTAGTATGTACAAAAGTTTAAAATTAAGAGCCAGGGTAGCGTATTTGTGTGGTACGTGATTTCTAGTCATCTTAATATTTTAGTTATTTAAAATTAAAATATCTTCTAAATTATCATAATCACATAGTAACATACTAACATTTAATTCCTTTTCAAGAGACATTATTATTATTATATTGAAATTCTTCGAAAATGCTGGATTCTTAATTTGATTATATTGATTTAAATTTACGCTTAATTTACGCTTAATCAATTTGCTTATTTTTTTTTTTTTTCTTTTTTTTCTGTTTTTGTTATTATAGTTTTCAGTTTCTGTTAACTTTTTTAATCACTGTTTGTTTTTAGTTTTATTAGTATGTATGTATATTGGACTTATTTTTCGTTATCCTGTACCGTTTCTTATTAATGTATCTTTAGTTTTAATTGTCAAGCTGTAATAATTTTATATTGAGAGCTTTAAAAAAAAAAAAAAAAAAAACATACTAACATATACTATAGGTTAAGCCGTAAGTCACTATCTAGGCGTCTTACAACATGTATAACGTCTATCGTGTCTTGTGGCTTTAATCATATTCTGAATGGCCGTGGTAAATATGGTATCATTCAATCATTCACAAACCAGGATCAGGAAAATTCCAGTTGATCCGTGCTCAAACTTTCGGACACGATACGACAAGACAACATAGAAGTGATTTACTAGTGAACCCAACACATCTTTTTAAAATGAACTATTTATATTATGCACATAATAGCTACAATGCTACACTTACACTAGTTACTTACACTAACTCACTAGCAGTATAATTTATTTTGATACTTATTGTGGTAGAATAACAATATTCGACATTCAATTATAATTTTCAAAATAACGTTTATAATGTATTATTAATTTATTTTTTTATTTATTATAGAGTTTATAGACCTATAAGACCATAAACCATATTACAATATATCAATATGACAATCAGACAATATATCTACCTATAATGTACACAAGTGGTTTGGTATTTTTGTAGTGTTTAAAAAAGTAGTATAGTTGTCGCTTGACAGCAATGTAGTGGTGTATCTACGAGAGACATGCCTCCGTGACCTAAAAAAAAACCATTAATAGTAATCTCATTGTGAATTGTGATCTATTATTAGCAATGAAAATATCTAACGACATATAAATAGCATTGATTAAATATTAAAAACAAAAAATAATAAAATCTAATAAATGATTGGTAATATAATAAATTAAAGTAATATTTGTATGCTTAAATAACCCAATATGGCATCGATCAGTTGCTAAAATTTAAAAATTGTAATACGATAACATAATGTGATTGAAACCTGATCAGAAATTATTTTAGTTATGGTACTAATGGTACCTACATAGACGCAAATAGGAGGGGAGACTGTGAGGGCTAAGCTCCCCAAACATTTCCTAATTTTTTTAAAGATTTATCAGTATTTTTATAGTTTCATTATGATGCGAAATTCGTGTTCGTATTTTAAAGAATTTGTAATCTGCAAATGTACAAAATTTATTTGTTGTGATTTATTTTTGTTATTATCTTCTTTTTTAATTGATTATTATAAAGTAGTTTGTAACTTGTATTGGAGCTAGAGCAATATTTATAAATAATGAATTCCATTTAACAAATATTTTTTTTCTTAACTATTTTGTTTTTGTTTGTATTTTTGTGTGCAAGATACCTACTTCTGCAGATATCAATTGTTCCAACTTAAAATGTGAAATGAATGTAATGAAAAATATGATAAAATAAGTTAATTTTGTAAATATCAAAAAACATCTAAATGAAGAAATATTTTTTCTTTATTTTAAATGGTAATCACATTATCCAATTTTCCATGTTTTTTTACGTATGTTAGAATAAGGAAATAAAAATTAAGACGCCCTTTTAGTAAAGTTCATAAATTATTGTTTTTTTTTTTAAATACATTTAATGTGTTCGATGAATTGACAGTGATACTGAAATGTAGCTACTTTAAGTCATGAAGTGAATACATAATATAGAGGAAACCATCTTGTTTTATTCATAAACAAAACATTAATAGAATCGAATGCTATGTCATAGAACGATAGAAGGTCTAGGGGAGTATGGACGTAAAATCTCTAAATCTATTATTGATTGCACTTAAAATTCTTGAAAATAAATTGCTTTAATACCTACGTAAAAATTATACTTGTTCTTTCATAATTGCATGGAACAAATTTATTTATTTAGACCTTACAATATATTGAGGCTATAGGCATTGCAACAAGTTTGAAGTTGGATGGTAAAAATTACACGGAACACGTAAATTACTAGTTGTATACTACATCCGAGGACTGAGGCTTATTACCACTCATTACTCATTACTCAATATTCATTAAAGTCAATACTATTATAAAAAATGCAAAAGGAAATTATAATATTTTTAGTAGGTAGGTATATGATTATGAAATGAAAAAAAAAACTTGCTGTAAAATTTAGATTAAAAATATGAAAATATTCAATTAACATGATGGTTGTTTCTTAGGTACTATCTCTTAACACGCAATTTGGGTCTTGTATTTGTATTTATTTTACTTTTAATAGTATGTTACTTGGTGGCAAACTGACAACTATATAATACGTAATCTATCTTTAATGACACATTACTGAAGATTTTATGATCAAGAAAAATGACTACGATGTCGGATGTACAAAAATTACGAGAAAAAAAATACCTCGGTAAAATAATTTAAATAATGGCCTAAAAGTGTGAAAAATTACGTTA